CCCTCCCAGCTCCCAGCCCCTAGTTGCACCTCTGCTGCACAACATTGCACACCCTCTGGGTGGCTTCCGGAGCGGTTTTTCAGAGGGCACAGGAAATCTATGGTGCCCACACCATTCTCTGATTCCAGGCCTTTGGGTGGTGAAAGAATATTTAGTTAAGCTTCACGTGAAGACATTAAAATAGTTATTTTGCGCACGCACCAACAGCCGCAAACAAACAACAGTAGAAAAGCAATTTGGGCTGCTGTCCAAATACATAATTATCCATAGGGAGAAGTCAAAACAATAGAGCAGTAAAGATTACAGTGGTGCCCCGCAAGACGAAATTAATTCGTTCCGCAATTTTTGTCGTCTAGCGAATTTTTCGTCTTGCGAAGCACGGTTTCCCATAGGAATGCATTGAAAATCAATTAATGCGTTCCTAGGGAAACCGCTTGCCGGGCTGGCGGTGCGGAGAAGGGCTTTTCTCCCCACCGCAAGCCTTCAGCACAGGTACGGGAACAGAGGGGAAGGCGCGCAGCGCTTTCCCTCTGTTCCCGGGGCTTGCGTGGGAGGAGGGTTTTTCCTCCCCACCGCCAACATTCAGAACAGCATTCTGAATGTTGGCGGTGGGAAGGAAAACCCTTCTCCCACCCCAAGTCTTCAGGACAGCCATCCGAAGGCTGGCGCGGGGAGAAAGTCTCTCCGCCCCCCCCCCCCCACGCCAGGCTTCGGTGCATCCTTCAGAGGCTGCTGCCATAGTCACGCGTCACTTCTCCAGCTGGGAGAGGGTCGCGGGGCTATGGTTTCTTTAGCCCCGCACGCGCTCTCCCGGCTGGAGAGGTGACGGGCGCCTATGGAGGTTCCTGCCATATGCGCGCGTCACAACTCCAGCTGGGAGAGGGTCGCGGGGGGCTGGTTTAGCCCCGCGCGCGCTCTCCTGGCTGGAGAGGTGACGGGCGCCTATGGAGGCTCCTGCCATAGGCGCGCGTCACTTCTCCAGCTGGGAGAGGGTCGCGGGGGGCTGGTTTAGCCCCGTGCGCGCTCTCCCGGCTGGAGAGGTGACGGGCGCCTATGGAGGCTCCTGCCATAGGCGCGCGTCACTTCTCCAGCTGGGAGAGGGTCGCGGGGGGCTGGTTTAGCCCCGCGCGCGCTCTCCTGGCTGGAGAGGTGACGGGCGCCTATGGAGGTTCCTATGGAGCTGTTCCTGGAACAGCTTTCCGAAGTGGGGCGGCTGGGGCAGATGTCCCCGCCCCCCCCTCCCCGCTTCGGAACAGCTTTCCGAAGTGGGGCGGCTGGGGCAGGTGACCCCGCCCCCCCGCCCCACTTCGGAACAGCTGCAAAAGACGTCAGGGGGGAGCGGGGAAGCGAAGCGCTTCGCTTCCCGCTTCCCCCGGACCTCTTCTGAAGCAAGGGGCTGGGGGGAGATCGCTATCTCCCCCCAGCCCCTTGCTTCAGAAGAGGTCCGGGGGAAGCGGGAAGCGAAGCGCTTCGCTTCCCCGCTTCCCCCGACGTCTTTTGCAGCAAGGGGCTGCAGGGAGATCGCTATCTCCCCCCATCCCCTTGCTTCAGAAGAGGTCCGGGGGAAGCGGGGAAGCGAAGCGCTTCGCTTCCCCGCTTCCCCCGACGTCTTTTGCAGCAAGGGGCTGCAGGGAGATCGCTATCTCCCCCCAGCCCCTTGCTTCAGAAGAGGTCCGGGGGAAGCGGGGAAGCGAAGCGCTTCGCTTCCCCGCTTCCCCCGACGTCTTTTGCAGCAAGGGGCTGCAGGGAGATCGCTATCTCCCCCCATCCCCTTGCTTCAGAAGAGGTCCGGGGGAAGCGGGGAAGCGAAGCGCTTCGCTTCCCCGCTTCCCCCGACGTCTTTTGCAGCAAGGGGCTGCAGGGAGATCGCTATCTCCCCCCAGCCCCTTGCTTCAGAAGAGGTCCGGGGGAAGCGGGGAAGCGAAGCGCTTCGCTTCCCCGCTTCCCCCGACGTCTTTTGCAGCAAGGGGCTGCAGGGAGATCGCTATCTCCCCCCAGCCCCTTGCTTCAGAAGAGGTCCGGGGGAAGCGAAGCGCTTCGCTTCCCCGCTTCCCCCGGACGTCTTTTGCAGCAAGGGGCTGCAGGGAGATCGCTATCTCCCCGCAGCCCCTTGCTTCAAAAGAGAAGACCCACTGTCCCCGGGGCAAGCTTCGTTTTGCGAAGCAAGCCCATAGGGGAATTCGTCTTGCGAGGCAAATCGCGGACGAAAAAACCTTTCGTCTAGCGAGTTTTTTGTCTTGCGAGGCGTTCGTCTTGCGGGTCACTACTGTACATTGTAAAGCAGAATACTGTTTTAAGCCTCATATGGTATTGAAAAGAAAACATTTTAGAAAACTGAATGGAGAATGGATAAAAAGCTGTCTTTTCCAGAAGGAAGGCAAGTAACAATCAGTGGTGTGTTGTTGCTGGCAAACTTAATGTTTTCATTTGTGATCTGTAAGTAAAAGAAAATAAAAGCCACAAGTTATTGAAGATTTTTTTGTAGGTTACAGCACAGGTTCTCCCTTTTTCTTTTCTTTTTACAATGTACTGCATTACAGCTGTCTCAATTTCAGACCAGGCACAATGCTGAAAATTCAGTAAGATGGTTAGAGATAAGCCACAAATATGGACTATCGTGCAAGCCCTAGAGATTTAGTTAATCTGACCTAGATGTTCTTTTGATGATTGAGAACCTACTATATGTGAAAACACTTCTCAATTTCAAAATGAAACACAAGAATATCCACTGTATAACTCAGCTGTCCTTGTAGTGATGGGCACAGCAATCATTTCTTAACAGAGGAGGATTTGCTATATAAAGTTTTCAGCTTTTAAAGCCATTTAGATCATTGGCATTTGGAGCAGCAATGATATTGAAAGTTGGAAGTGAATGCCGCATTTGAGTTTTGCTATGTCACAAAGAGGATTATCTAGAGATTCAAGTAACATACTTCTTCTCTTTTAATTTCCATGGGCATGTTGTATAAGATCTTAATTCTTTAGTTCTCACTGATTCCCCACCCCCCCACCCCCAGTCTTGTGAAATTGTTTAAGAGATCATCAGATGGGAGGGGAGGCATAAGAGGTGTATTTAAAACCACCAATTCTTCTGTTTGCATTCACTTGCCAGTATCATGTGTGCTATGAAATTATACGCAAGTGGTTTCTGTTTATCATTTGCTTGAATTTGCTTGATGGTCACTTATCCATATGACATAAAATAATGATTTGATAGTCCTATGCTAAAAAGATAGAAGGGGGGGCATCTTAGAACAGGGTTTTTCCAGGCAGACATTATGGTTGCCAGATCACATTCAGTCTTGGCGGTTGTGGGAAGACAACAGAGGTAGCACCCGGCATTGTCACCCTGTTAACTTTCTTTAAGAAGTTCAGTGCTGTGCCATTGCGCTCCCTGTGTGTAGTAATTTATCAGATTCACAGCATCAATAGTGCTACCGCATTGGGTACTGGGAGAAGGAAAGAGAGAGAGAGAGAGAGAGAGAGAGAGAGAAAAAGAAAGAAAGAAAGAAATGAACCACCAAGTTTCTAAATGCCACTGGCGGTTCTGCTACTACCACAAACTTTGCCAGATTACTTTCAGCCAGTTTCTGATCATTTCTATCCCAGTCATGACGTTGGAGCTTGCTTTGGACTTTCCAAGAATCAATACTGGATTAGATCTTTTGGTAGTATGTACCACTCTGCAATGTTGCAATATACATGAAGTTAGAGAACAGCTACAGTTGGCTGCAGAATGTTCCCCCTATTCATTGGAAAAGGCCAGAATGTGGGACTGTGCTTGGGGACAGGAGAGGGGCAAGCAGGAATTTTGCTTTTTGACTATGTTTCTATAATCTTTTTTTAAAAAAACTCAGACAACTTTAGCGTCGCTGATAGAATCAATAAAGGGTTTGATATACAGAAGAAAAGTCTGGAGTGGAGCTATTAGCCAATGGAGTAGCAAATAAATGTTCTTGTTGAAGTGCCCTGTAGCTGAGAACAGGTTGCTTGTAAACTCTGAAAACCATTTGGTTGCGGACAATTGTGAAGGCTGTTCCACAGAGACAAAAGTTGATTTAGTGTTTTCTTTGGAAATTTTTGCTGCCTAACTTGCATTGTTGAAAGTGTTCTTAACAACCACATTTGCAGGCCAGAAGTAGGAATTGGTGGAGGGGGAGATGGAAGAATTAAACAGACCAGGATGAGGAAACATTTCTTCTAGTTAGGTTGGGAATAAATACCATTTTACCAAAGATAGCAAAAGAAATAACCCTGGGTATTGAACTGCTGTTGTCAGAACATAGAGAGTTTATCTGCTATAGAAAAGCAACAGACCACCTTGGTCTCTGTAGAGTTGAGTTAAGCAACACAGGTAATAGCACAGTTCTTTGAATTGCTGTAATTACTACTGGGAGCCTGATTTTTTCAGAAATAAGTAAATAGAATGGCAAAAGAATTATGTTTGTTTATTTTTTTTTAAAAATAGTGTCCCTCCTTTATGCTGTAATTGACATTTAAGGCAGCCAAACTAAAGTATCATAGAAACATCAGAATAATAAAAAACCACTGCATATAAAACCAAAGAGCACGTGATTATACATAAATATTAAGTTGCAGTTAGCAGCTGACAGACCAACCCAAGACACAACTTGTCCCACGCAAAGCAAATATAACAAATCAATTTAGTCACTAAGGCATAGTACTCAAAAAGATTCAGACTCAAACAATTCAGCTTTATTTATATTTATATCCCAGAAGTCATTTTGCTTTTAAACACATTGAAAAATACAGAACTTTTCTTATAATATTTTAGTTAAAACAGCATGGCTATATTTAGTACCACTACTGTTTTTGAAAGTGTTAAACCTCATATTCAAATGTTGTAGCATGAAAATGTATCTAGTGGGCAAGTTCACCACTCGAGTAATCTTGTGTTATAACTGCATATTAATCCTCCGCATTTAAGGAATTATTCCAAGTCAACAAGTGGTTAGTTACTCTGAAATCTTGTTTTGCAGACACCTGGTTTAAGAGCTCGACCAACCAGACTGCAGTGGTTTGCAGAGAAGTGTATTGCAAATAATCAGGTTTGTGTATGGTGAAAATTTTATTTTTATTACTAATTTAAGGCAATAATTTTGCATCATTTCTATTGTAACCATCCAAATCCAAGAGAAAAAGACTTACCGTATTTTTTGCACCACAACACTCACTTTTTTCCTCCTAGAAAGTAAGGGGAAATGTCTGTGCGTGTTATGGAGGAAATGCCTACGGGTGACATGCCTATGGATTTTCCTCCTCTAAAAACTACGTGCGTGTTATGGTCGGGTGCGTGTTATAGAGTGAAAAATACGGTAATTAGTTTGTGTGTACATGCACCTCCCACTATCAGAATGCTCTTTATTGAAAATTTCTGTTATCCAAACACATATCGTTATACCCAAACCTTGCTACACAAATGACTGATTCAGATATCCAAACAGCCCACCTCCTTACATATTTGTGTTTGGGCAGAAGGCACAGAGCATTGATGGGCAAACTTGGCCCTCCAGCTCTTTTTGGGACTACAATTCCCATCATCCCTCACCACTGGTCCTGTTAGCTAGGGATGATGGGAGTTGTAGTCCCAAAACAGCCAGAGGGCCAAGTTTGCCCATCACTGGCATAGAGGAAGGGAGAGAGATCTGACAAATCAGGGAGCAGGAGAGATCAGGCAAAGGGAGGGAGAATGGACAAATCATGGATTAGAAATTTCCCATAGGAAATAATAGAAATCATTGGCTTGTTGTGCAAACACTCACCATCAAGCGATTTACTGGGAGCTCATTGTGTTTGCAAAGCAGGACCTGCATGTACTAACTACCTTTCAGTAGGGCCTCCAGTTAACAACAGTCTACAGCTATTGAGTAGGATAGTCACCTGTCTTGTCTTTCCCATTCCGTATGTTATATTCAGGGTTCTATCATTTTACTTGCCAACTTGTTAGGCCTTCGCTGTAGAACTTCAGGCACAGGCCCAGCTGCTACTACCCTCTCCTGTAAAAGCCTATTGAGAAAAAGAAGTAAACATTCTCCTTTTCCCTACAGAGAAGTTGGGAGAATGAGCTTTTGCAAGAAGAGAAATCACTCCTCCTTTCCTCCTCCAAGATCTTTGTAGGAGAGAGGAAAGATGGCTTCCCCATCCCACTGGGCTTCTGCTGTTTTACCTTTTCTGCAAAAGCCCCACAGGAGGGCTGATGTCTTTTCCTTTCCTCAGTTTCTCCATGAGCCACAAGACTTGGGAGAAGGAAAGGATTGGTGGTGATCACAAACAATAGCTTGGTTAGTGAGCGAATGTTGACACGGTGAAAAAAACCAGTATGAACCTGTTTTTTCCTACAAGGTATTGGCAGCCTAAACAAGTACAGTGGTACCTCTGGTTGCGAACGGGATCCGTTCCGGAGCCCCGTTCGCAACATGAGCAGAATGCAACCCACGTCTGCAGGTCGCAATTTGCCACTTATGGGCATGCGCGTGACATCGTTTTGCACGTGAGATACCCTTTTACAGTCTTACCTTGGGTTGAAGTAGCTTCGGGATGAATATTTTCGGGTTGCGCGCTGCGGCGACCCGGAAGTAATGGAGCACATTACCGGAAGTAATGGAGCGTCTGCATGTGCAATGGTCAAAATGACGTCACGCACATGCTCGGAAGCAGCAAATCATGACCCGCAGATGCGGGTTGCATTCGCTTCGGGATGCGAACGGGGCTCTGAAACGGATCCCGTTCGCATCCAGAGGTACCGCTGTATTGGCAAATACACTGGTCGAAAATATAGAAGGTTGTATACAGTGTTAATTATACTCACCCATTGACATTAATGAACTTAAGTTACTCGTAGAATCATAGAATTGCAGAGTTGGAAGGGACCCTGAGGGTCATCGAGTCCAATCCCCTGCGATGCAGGGACGTAACTAAATCATACATAATTTCAATAATGTTCATTAATTTCATTGGGCATACTTTTGATGAGAAGAAGAAGAAGAAGAAGAAGAAGAAGAAGAAGAGGAATTATTTATTCGTACCTCGGCCAGAGCCGGCCTCAGAGCAGCTAACTAATGTTGGCAGAGTGATTACTATATGAGATACACTGCTATTATAGGGAATTGTCAGGAACTGATTAACACATGCAATATATACATATAAGATCTTAAATAAGAAGAGCCCTGCTGCATAAGGCCCATCTAGTCTAGCCTCCTGTTCTCACAGGGGCCAACTGGATGGTTATCTGAAGCCCACAAGCAGGATTTAAGTGTGACAGTGTTCTCCCAACTTGTGATTCTCAACAACTGGTATTCAGGGCTATGCTGCTTCTTGCAATGGAGGTAAAACTTAGCCATTGTGGCTAGTAGTCACTGATAGCCTTATTCTCTTTTTGTTGGTGTGCATTGTCGTCGCAATTTATACGTTGCGAAAATCATTGCTAAAATGTTAGTTCATGCACAGAAAATTCCATCACACATCACATAGTCACATTCTTCTACTCCCCTTTTCCCTATTTGCTCATTCTACATCCCCTACCTATTCATTACCCCATCATAACTTTTTTACAACTTGATACATATGCAATAAATGTCTAATAAACCAAGCAGTTCTTTATGTCATGTATAGATGTTAAAAATGTGGTGTGTGTTTGTAATATTTTCTCGTTTAAGGTTGAAGCCCTGGAAAGCATGGTAGAACTGACTCAAAAGCTTTTTGAATGTGATAGAGATGAGATGTATTACTACCTGTTAAAATTATGCAGTAAGTAAAATGGACAGACTCTTCTTTATTTTGGTTCTTATAAGTGAGGAAAATTCTCGTGTATGTTTCACGTTAGACTTACCAATGTTCAGAATAGAATTGTTTTTGCAGCCACAAAAAAAACAACCAATTGAGATATTAACGTTATTGAGAAATTAATAGTGTTGTAAGCAACTAATACTATGCACTTTACTTGTATGTCTAAGGATGTGGTGGTATTGGTGGGAGGGGTTACAAAGGGCAGCAACTGTAGTTTTAGTGTGAGGAGCAAAGAATTGGAATTGTGAGGCACAAAGTGTGCTCATTAATGGTTCCTCATCATTCTGGGGAAATGTGGCAAGTGGGGTGCCGCAGGGTTCTGTCCTGGGTCTGTTGTGTTTCAACATCTTTATAAATGACTTGGACGAAGGAATTGAGGGGATGGTCAACCAATTGGCAAATGACACCAAACTGGGAGGGGTCGCTCAGAAGACAGAATTGGGATTCAAGATGTCCTTAACAGATTGGCAAACTGGGCCCACACTAACAAAAGGAATTTCAGTAGGGACATATGTATGGTTCTATACTTTGGCAGGAAAAACCAGCTGCACGAAACACGCAGGAAAGTAAAGCATGGAAATATAAGCTGTTAAACCTTTAAAATATGGCTTTCTAAGTTAACTGTAACTTGCCTTAGTTACAGTGGTGAAAGTTCCTGAATAATTGGTATAGAAACATGAGAATGGCTTGTAAGAGCCATGCTGTCTGAGCTTGGGGCAACCAGTTCAGACCTCACACATTGTGCTCCTTAGGTAGACTAAGTAAAACAATAGGCTTGATTCCCTTCCTCCGAAGGTGTGGGGAAGTAACATAGCTAAAGGTCATCTAGTCTAAACGGCTGCAATGCAGGAATCTAAACTAGATCACAGATGACAGATTTGCTACCAGCCTAGGTTGCTTATTGGGTTTACTGCAGGGTAGCTAGTATGGTGCACTCCAGATGTTTTGGATTGCAACTTTCAGCAGCAGCAAGCATGCCCAGTGGAGATAAGTAGAATTAGAGCTTGCTTAAGAGGAAACAAGACCTTTGGACACAACCATTTGGTCAGGGTGCAATCATGGCCTGTCTCACATTCCATCCTTGATCTCCTTTTTACCTAGTGGGTGGGCTGGTCACTGCCATTTTCAAGTGTACTATCTTTTAGCTACCAAGCTGTCTGGGCTTTATTGCAGCTTGTTAAAGATTTCTTCTCCCTGCTTCAGCCATTTTCGTTGGGTGAAAGATTTGGTATGGCATTTGTCCATTTAGTTCAGTGCCCTGCCCATGGGTGAAATGTTGTTCATTGCACTTCAGCTGCATTCCAATTTACCAGTTAAGTTTCTTTCTTCCAGTTTTAGAGTGTTAACTCGAATAGGGAAACATTCTGCAGTTGGCTTACTTTGGTTGAACGATAATTGAAGGTTTTTGTAAACCACCTATTTGCTTCTGCATAGGTGGTATTTATCTCTTGAGGAGTTCTTTAAAGAAAGTTGCCATTTCCCATCATTGTGTAGTACTAAACCATGTCTCAGAAATTCAAGAATCCTCTGTGTAATTTCTCCCCTTGCTTTGAAGAGCTGTCTTGTTTTGCTGTCTACAAAAGAATTTGAAAAGATGTTCCTCTTTGCTACATACATAATTGCTTTCAATAGAAGATAGCCAAATACACTCGCAGCCTCCCAAGGAATATCTTGAAAGCCTTTCAAAATCTTACCAGTACGTGGGCAACTTGTTAAGCATTCGAGGACAATTGAAAATTGAGAGCCACATAGCAATGGGTGACTGCAGATCCGATTGACGGAAAGGGAATTTTGCAGGCGTGCCATACCTCTGAAACATACCTCTTTTAATAGGATCAGATTTTATATGGCCTGGGATCCAAAGGACTGCTTACGTAATGCTGCGCATTGATAAAGGCTTTGGACTTTATATATCTTGAATTGGAACCTCACATACCATATGGTGCACAGTTTTTGAAACTGAGAAGTCATTTAAAAGCAGTTTGATAGGACATTTTGGAGTGGTTGTCTGCTTTTCAAAGAAAATAGCTAAACATCATGTTGCAGGGTCCTTTATGCATCAATTTGTGCAATCAAGCCCTGGTATGAGTAGAATTGGATACACTACATGTTCCTGCAATTCTCCTCTATTCAGACATCTGTAATATTTGCCTAGGAATTTGTTTCATGTTAGTAGCAACCAATACAGGTCAGTTGGGCTAGTTTAACCATAACTGTAATTTTCTATGGCATCTGTTGACTGCTTGCTTGCTTAATCGTTTGCATTTTTTAAAAAAAAAGACTTTCAAACCTCAATATGAGGTGAGTTTGCAAGCTGTTGTTTGAAGGTTAGCACTAACCATAGTTTTCCAGTTCAGGAATGGCAAACTGTGGTTAGCCAAAGTTAGGAAGGTGAAGGAAGGGCTCCATGAAAGAGGAAAACAGGCTATGAAATTCAGTAACTGTAACTCCATTATTTTTGCTGCAGCAGCCCAATATAACCACCTCTATGGAACTGTGTTTTTTTGGAAGCAGATGGATTTTTGCTTTACTGCAGCTCAGCAGTGTGATGTTACGACACCTTCTTGTCGCTTTATAAGATAAGGAAACATGTTTTTTTCCATCTACCTTGGCAGAGTATTCACCTCTTTTGCTTGCAAAAAGAACATTCAGAAGAGAAGTGGCCAATATATTTGCTGTATGCTTTATTTCATTCTTGCATTTCATTTCCTCAGCAGCTTTTTTTAAAAATCTTCCTTATTGTTTTACAAATACTGGTTCACCATAATAAAGCAACTGGGTTTCCAAACATAATCTTCCTTTAGTAGGAGGGAGTCGTCCTCCTTTCCCAACAAGCAGCCTGTCTCTCTTCAATGGGGAGAGGAGAAATCTAAGATACAAATTTTATCAAACACTGTTGTGCAAAATCTGTAGACAGCAAGAAAAGACACAACCAATTCAATCTACTTAAATAAAGAGAAAACAGCTTTGTCCGCTGTAAGAGCAAAAACAGAACCATAGTCTTAACCCACGTCTAACCATCTTTCAAAACTGTTCCATGCAATACAGCTCCTGAGGTTCCATTGCTATTTCTGTATATTATTACAACGGTAGCTAAATTCAGTTTTCCAACAGTTTACAAATGTAGGCACGTAGTTCAGCACAAAAAAAGGAATTATTATAAACCTGTAATCCATCATTGATTGCAAGGCGAGTGATGAACAGAGGTTATTTTAACTCTCTAATATATGAAGGGTTTTTTGCAAGGAGTTGGGGCATGTACTGTGTTCACTGTGTGTTCCCATATTCAGGCACCTTGGAATGTGGGAAATGGTGATGAGTCAGGGATTTGGATCAGCATGTTGCCTATATCCTGATGACCCCCATTGCTGTCTCTCTTCCAACTTGTAATTCTGGAGAGGTTGTGAAAGTCCTGAACTGCTTGGCATCCTTATTGTAGTAGATAGGGATGGGGGAGTGGAAACATACCGTATTTTTCCGTGCATAAGACTAGGTCTTATACTCCAAATTAGGTTTAAACAGGCTCATCTTATGCACAGGTAGTGCTGAAGGCTGTTTTCTTAATTTGGAGTCCCCCAAAATAGGGGGTGTCTTATACATGGGGGCATCTTATACACGGGAAAATACAGTAATCCATACAAGGCAGAAATATTGCTGGTTGAGGATTTTGATGGTGTGGGAGTACATATGCAGCCTGCTCTGAGTGGGGTTGCACTCCCCTTAAGGGATCAAGTTCGAAGCTTATTGATTACAGAATGTGACCAGTAATTGGCTAAGGCATTGAATGGACCCGACTATATCTGACCCCTGCCCGTTGTGCAGAGAGTCTGGTAAGGGTAAACCCCCAGAAGGGGGAGCCCCGTCCATGCAGACCAACTTGAGCTCCCCCAGGTGTTCCCGACGGGGTCGTGTCATGGTCCTAGCTCTGCCCTGGGCTTCGGACAAGATGCACACCCCCGGATTCCTTTAACGGAATACCCTTACACTTGGAGGGGCAGGTAATGGCCACACCTCCCCTCTCCTATCAAAAGGTCAAACAATGCCTAACCGCAACCCTAACAAAGTTGTGACGATTGCTACGAGGTAGGCGAAAACCAAATGGCCCGTGCCAGTTTTGCCAAGTGGAAAAATTCCTACCAGGCCCCTCAACAGCGACCAACCGAGGTCCATAGCAAGGCCAATGAAAACCTGAAAAAAAGGGAGGGAGGGCGGGAGCTTGAAGAGGCGAGCCAAGAGGAAGCCCTCCGGCTTGCTCCTCCACTTAAATGGTCCCAGCCATGCCCCCACCAGCCAGCTGATTGGCTGGCTGAGTGCTGACGCAGTCGGGATCCCCCAGGGCAATGCGGGACTTCGTCCCCCGCCCCTGGGGAAGAGTAGGTGGCCACGCGGTCCACCGCAACTCCTCCCCGCGATGAAGATTTCTAACTAAAAGGAAATTAGGACTACACTGGCAGGAGAATTATTCCTATGATGTGTAATATTCTGTTTGGCTCTAATTATAAATAACTTGAAAAAAGAATGTTCAAACACCCACTCCAGATTAAGTAACAAAGGAAGTTGGTTATATATGGGAAAGTAAACTTCATGTGAAGACATGCATGAAACAGCTTGCAGTAAAAAATGACAGTGCCACATTTAGGTTTCCTCTGTTCTTTCACTTTTCCCCCTTCAGAGGTAAACAACGATTGGCAAAGGGCTGACGCTGTTTGGACTAAAATGCAAGAAGAAAACAGTATTCCCCGTGAAAGAACTTTGAGGCTGCTAGCAGATATTCTTAAGGCTAATAATCAGGAAGTTCCGTTTGATGTACCTGAGGTAAATTAGGTTAATTGTTTTATGTGGTGAAATACTGGCTTTAAAATCTTTCATGTTGGTTTGTGAATGATATGGCAGAGGGAGATTGTATGTATGAAGATAAGTAACTTTTAAAAATGGTTTTCTTTTAAAGACTTGGTTTGATGGGGCTACTGATGAGGCTGTTGATTCTGTCAGTTCTCCCTCTTTGACGACTGCTGAACAGGCGACAGATAATGAAAAAGAAATATTCATACTCTGCAAAAAGGGCAAACCTGAAGGTAAATTAATTTGGACTCTTTCTTAAACTATTGTTGAAAAGAATGTGCTAACTCGTTCAATACAAGCCACAAAGCACGCCTGTATTCCCAAAATCATGGTGCTCTATAGCTAACATTCTGCTTCATGAAATTGTACTGTAGAATCTTGGTGCCAAAATATTAGCGGTCTTGTATTTCTTTCCGTGCTGAATATATAGGCTCCCAGTATGTAACTGCTTATGATACTATCTTTCGTACTGTTGTAAGGAATAATTTAACATCCGGATGTGAGGTTATTACTCTCTGTAGTAGGAAGGATATCGCTGATTTAGAATTTATCATCATATTCCGTTATATTAAAGTTGGACTTCATCAAGATTAGAAGGCATCTTTCCCACTACAGAAAGTAACTGTCTCCCTTTTGTGTTACATTAGCCTGAAAAGAAAAGTAGTGTTGTAACAGCTGTTGTAAACAAGGCTGTGCTTGCCTCTCCCACACCGATCCAGTTCGGACCCTGATGCCACCCAAGGCTGACCCAGATCCAGGCCCCAACTTTAATTGAGGGCCATGCATTGCCTATAATTTGAAACCCTGATTAAATACACAGCCAAGGGCAGCTTTATGGCTGCCACCATCTCAGGTGGATCTGAGACTGCTTCAACCCTCTTAGACTGAATCTTGGGTCAGCTCGATTTGGCTCATGACTTAGGCAGAGCCAGTTCATGTGAATGTTTAGCTCTACATGGAAATCTCTGGTTTCCAACTCCCTCTTTCCTCAGCATAGACCCACCAATAAAAAGGTACGAGGGCATGGCGCTGTCGTCATCCTTTTACCCCTGAAGTGATGGCTTCAAAGTGACCTGCAGCAGCCAAGAACTACTCACCACCACTATAGATATATACCGTCAAACATTGGCCCAGAGCTGCCAGATATTCTTAGCCCACGTCGTGCATCTTGTCTTCCCTTAAGCCAAGATGGAATCCAATGGTTTTAGTGTTCTTCCTTAGGAAGCCACTCAGAACAATGAATTAGTTGAAATCAGCACAAAATGATATTCTAGGTTTGGTGGAGTGGACACTAAATTACACCAAAGCCCTGGGTTTAACTATGCTGTTGCTGGTTAGAATTGAATAGTTTTCCTGTGGAGGACATGAAGGTTTGGAAGACATAATGCTAACCAATCTAATACAGTCATACCTCGGCTCTCGAACACCTTGCGAGTCGGAACGTTACGGTTTTCAAATGTTCTTTTGGAAGCTGAATATCCGACGGGGCTTCCGTGGCTTCTGATTGGCTGTCAGGAGCTTCCTGCAGCCAATCAGAAGCCGTACTTTGGTTTCTGAACGTTTCGGAAGACGAACGGACTTCCGGAATGGATTTGGTTTGACTTCCAAGGTACGACTGTGTATCCTCAGTTTAGATCACAAGCTGTGGTTGTATCAGCACATCCAGTTGTGCAGTTACATAATTTTTGCCTCTTCACTCATCTTGGGGGAGGAGGGCTCCCTTTGGAGAGCGACATGGATTGCTTCTCTTACTTCATAAGGATGTGAGCCAATGCTGCTGTTTTGGGAGCCCTCCTGCCCATTCTGATAAGTGGTGCCTGGACTTCTGTCCCGAAGTCTTGCCCTGATGACATTGGCGTCATCCAATACACTATCAGCACCTAAGAGCACAGCCTTTAGCTTTAGCACCATAATTGTGGTGGTCAACACAACAGAAATTGTATGAATAGCAAACTGAACAGGAAGTGTTAAAAATTTACCCGTTTCTTTTTTAAAAAAAAGGTTTGGATATCTTTTCTCAACACAATGTTGGTGATGCATCTTGCATTATTGAAATAAAGTGCATGATTATGTACTAGATATATACAGTAGAACTTGCATCACATATAATATACAGTCAGGATGTGTGTTGTTTTCTTAAGTCGATTCTGATTTATTCTTTGCTTTGTTTGGTACATAAATTTCTAAATACCAGCTGAACTAAAGTTTATTTGATTTTACATACTGTAGTGTATTTAAAATATTAAAAACCAACACTGCTTTTAAGGGAAATAAATAAACACAGTGTCCCTCCCCCCCCATGTATGACATTAATTTTTAAAGAGTATATTAAGCAACAAATTACTGTTTCAACAGGATGTTTACACCTCCATAATCTTGTTCAGAAAAGTAAATGACTGAAAAGTGTGGTTACCTTTTTTCCCCTTTTTTTGGTAACGTCTTTTCACTAACTTGACAGTTATTGTGAATGTGTGAAATAAAACTGTTAATCAGTCAAATAAATGCAGTTTTAGTTTACTTGTTAAATATCAGTATATTTGTAAATTGTATGTTTTTATGTAAATCTTGTCGTAGCCAAATAATTTGATCTCCCAGTACTGAAAACACTGCCAATATTTGCTGAATGCTGCTATGATACAGTATCAAACATTGCAACTCCTTTCCACAGAGTTGGGGGATGCGTTAAAATAATGTGAATTACGTCTTTGAACCAAGGTAGCCTAATAGCAGCTCGTCAATGAACTTGAAAATGGCAATTCTGAAGGTGGCTGAGGATAACTTGTTTGCAATTGGTGGCAGTAGTTTTTTTTCTTCTTCTTCTTTTACTTGAATTTAGGTTGCTAAGAGTTCAGAAAGGATTTTGTATTTTAAAGAAACAATTACACAGAAAGAATTTCAACCCAGAAACCAGACAGTTTCTTAAATAAAGCTTTGGACTCTTAAGATATATATGAAGAAAAAAGGAATAGATTTGTTTCAGATGCTATATTTTTCTTTTCCAAAAAGAGAGATATACAGTGGTGCCTCACAAGACGAAAAGAATCCGTTCCGCGATTCTCTTCGTCTAGCGGTTTTTTCGTCTTGCGAAGCAACCCTATTAGCGGCTAAGCGGATTAGCGCTATTAGCGGTTTAGCGGCTTAGCGGCTATTAAAGGATTAGCGGCTAAGCTGCTAACAGGCTATTAGCGGCTTAGAAAAAGGGGGGGAGCGGGGGGGAAATCGCAAGACTAGCAAGACGTTTCGTCTTGCGAAGCAAGCCCATAGGGAAAATCGTATTGCGAAGCAACTCAGAAATGGAAAACCCTTTCGCCTCGCGGGTTTTCCGTCTTGCGAGGCATTCGTCTTGCGGGGCACCACTGTAAATGCTGTTCTGTGGCACTTCAGTATAAGTTGACACATCAATTGTTTTGTTTTAATTTTCTTTGCAGTGGCATACAAAATTTTACAAGAAGCACAAGAGCGGGGTAGTGTGCTTCCAGCCTTTGCATACGCCTTACTTATAAGAGCATTGCTGAGCAAGGGTTATCTTGAAGAAGCCATCAATGTAAAAAACATGTAAGGAACTTTTTTTTTTTAATATTCTTGTATATCTGTGCACTTGTAACCTTGCATAAAAACCTGTCCAGTCTTTGCTTCCAGGTGAAATTTCTGTTTTCCTAATAGAAAAATGGCCTTACTTGAAAGTAGCAAAATGCATTGGTCTTTCCAATATGTTGCATGTCATAAGTTATAAAAAAAGGGGGGGTGGGGAAAGCTTGGCATTTTGGCATCAGGTCATTTTGTAGCTAATGATGCATTACAGCCCAGTCACACACTTTGTACACTTAACAGTTTAACAAATGCACACATTATCCAAGCACCATTCACTTTTAATGGCTGGGTGAAGTCCCAAGACCAGACACAGAAGGCTACAGGCATTGCTTTTTATCGAATGCACTGACAGAATCATACAAGTATGAAGTGCCATTTAGTGAATTGGGCAGTTCAGCTTTGTGCATGAAATTTCGCTCCCATGTCGCATGTGCCAGTCAGTCACTATTCAACTGAATTACACCTTATAGGAATACAGTTCTTTCACGGTGGAAATATGTGACAAAACTGGCCATACCTAAAGGCCTTGCTTTGTAATTATATTTATGTGTGAACTTTTAACGTATGTAAATGTTTGATTTAAAAGCTGTTTGTGATGCATTCTAGGATAAGCCAACATTTCACCACAGAAATCTTACCTTAAGATAGCTTTAAAAAATAAACATAGTGGTCATTCTTCTGCCTAGCATCACTATATATTTCATAAGTTTCTCAAATTTGTAGTAACTTTGTTGTTGTTGTTTAGTCGTTTAGTCGAAGTATTGGAGCCTCAGCTTCAGGATCTGTCCTTCCAGTGAGCACTCAGGGCTGATTTCCTTAAGAATGGATAGGTTTGATCTTCTTGCAGCCCATGGGACAAAACTCCATGGACAAAAACAACAGGCATATGAAAGTGTAACTTTAGGCAGTGCTATTTTTCTAGAAAAAGAGGTGCCGAAACTCACTATGAGTACCTCTCCCGTTCTCTTAGAATGGTAATGATGGCGCCTACCTGAGAGGTGCCAGAACTGAGTTCCGCTGAGATCCGGCTGGAAAAAAAGCCCTGTGTAAGAAAATATGTAGCTGCCTTATACCAAGTCAGTGGTCCACCAAGATCTGTTTCATCTAGGGGTGCCATATTTTGAAGAGCAAAAAAAAGAGGATGCCATGACGACTCTCATTTTAAATACCCCTACTATATGTAGGCTATAGAAGAAAAAACCCCTGACTTTAGGTATTATCTTAGGGGCAAAAAGGAAGATGTCAAAAGCAGCCAAACAAAAAACTTTGGTCATAATCCAACAGGGCTGCGAAATCACAGAAGGCCTTTTCTTTCTGCATGTGCAGATAGGGCCACGAATGCCAAAAGTTGTGGGTTGTAGATTTTGAGCATGTTGAGAGAGTTGCGCTCGACTTTTTTCCTAGCAACAATGTAAGCCAACTTTGGAAACAAGATACATTCAAAAATATTTTTATATTTTTAAGAAGTCAAAACTGAGTTCAAAGAGTTCCCGGGTCTTGATTGATAATTAGATTGGCTAATTTCAAATAACCACAAAAGACTCTAAGGTGTGCAACAAAATATAGAACAGCTTTATCTTAAATAAGTTAAATATAAAAAAGCAATATATATATATATAAAATTAGCACCCAAATTGATTAGTGCTAGCTGGCCAAAAACAACAGCAACATCAACCTATCATATGCAAAAGTATACATTAACAGAAAAGCAATTATGTAAAAAGCACAAAACAACAAAAATGGAAAATCTCGTTGCAGGTGTGCTGGAGAATGGAGTGGGGGCAGAGTACAAACCAAAGGCTCATGCATGTAATTCAAACCCATAATAGCATTACAACTGAACCAGGATAGTGTAGGGACACTAACTGAGAAATAAATGCTTGAAGAAGCACTCAGCCTTTTTTCTTAACAAAAATGATTAAAAAGGCAGACGTAAAGGAACGCTGAGCTTTCTTTGCCATGGCGTCATTTAAGACCCAAGTACATAATGTGAATCAGAACAAAGGATATTCAGGATCACATGCCTAATTAGTTAATAAGGACTATTCTTTAGGGTTGTTGAATATCAATAGATAATACAATAAGCATTTATTGATTGGCATATCTCTCTCTCCCATAGAAACGTCATAAAAATTCACACCTTCCCAACTCATCAGTAGAGGTTGGAACTTTCCCTGGGAATTAAAGTGGTCAAATAAATCAAAACAAAATGCTTCTTCCAGGTGCTGTTTTCTTAAGCCTGCTATACATAAAGCACTGCTGTTGTTAAATAAATTCTGTGGCAACAGGTAGTCTAGAAGAGAAGCTAAAATATTTTATATTGAAAGGAGAAATCCAAGTTGAGGTCATTTTGGAGTTGCTTTGCCTTGTTTCCAGTGGAGCTGGAATAAGAAGTCAGAACTCATTTTTGTGTACGCATTTTAAGTAAAGGGGTAGGTTTGTCTTAAAAAAATAAAAAATCCATAATATCTAACAGCAGAATGGGAAAGAACTAACTGAAAGTGCTTTAAGAAAATTTTCAGATGCTTTTGGTCAGTCCCCAGGCCTACTTTTAGAATTCTGATGAATTTTAGGTATGGTTCTAAAATAGAAATCTAGTAGTATTGGAATGAGGGATTAGTTCTGTAATAGTGGCTAACATCTATTTAATCACACTAAAGATTGGAAGATTGGAGAAAGTAAATCCTTTGTTATATGTAATTTACAGTCTCATGCATGAATTGTTGACTTAAGGGCTTTGACAGATGGGACAAAGAGGGGGCGGGGTGGGGGGGAGAGAAGCGGAACTGAGCAATAGGTGCTTAGCCAGAGATTAAGGGGATTGGTTGGGAGAGTAAGAAAATCCTGAGCCCAGTGACTGCATCTGAAGGCCCCAGAGGCTGAAAGTGACTGAGAGGATAGTTATATTGTGAACTCAATGCAGGATTTTCTTGGGATTGATGAGAATAATTTAGCAATGACCCTGCTTACCTCCCAATCCGCTCAGCTCGTAAGTTCAAGTAGGTAGGCTGCTCAGTTGTTTGCCACAAGATGATCATGGTGGTTTAGCCTGATTGTTGATATGGCAAATGGCAGCCCTACATACACTCCGGCCAGCGGAGATGTTCTAACCTAGAAAATGAACCGTGTAAAGTTATCCTGAGATATTAAGGAAAGTCTGAATTTCATTAGTGATGCTGAGGGCATTTCAAGGCACGCACTCGAAAAATAGAAAAGGATTTTCTGGTTAGTCACTCAGTGTATGTTTCTCGAAAGGCTTTAACCAATATTATTAAAGCCAAGTTCTTGTTGACGCTTCAGACCCGGGGATGCTTTCCCTCCGCCTTTCCCCTCTTCTTGCTTTCTAAAGGATGCAGAACTGATGAATTATGAAATTTAGTTTTAAGGCAGCAAAAGCAATACGTTGAGGGGTTTTTTATTATTATAAAAAACCTGTATGCATCTAGATGACAGAAATTTGAAAATTAAATCAACCAAATGATACGGTGTTGGTTCATAATATCCCTTTAGTTTATATTTAAAATATACAGCGCTGAAAATAAATGTTTCATTTTTTTATTGCAGAAAGAATAGTTTTACATTTTATAATTATGGTGACTGTTTTAAAAAGAAGGGGGGGGGAAGTATCCCGCTTAGGATACAGCAGAACAATGCTGGGCATGCAGTTATTTTCGTCATCTAATATGTCAGCATTCAAGAATCTGAACCGATTGTTTAAAAAAAATCTTGTACTTTGTTTCTTTTGTTGCTCATTTCCAACTTTGTCATCTGTCAGAATGCACAAAAAAATTATCCTTCTATAACCATTGACAGGATAACACAAAAGCTGTCTCCAGGTCGATATTTTGCGGCAATATTTTTAACATACGAACAGTAGTTTTTATAATTTCACCTTGGTGCTCAACCATTTATTATCGTATCAGAAGCATGTCAGTAATTCCTTTCTAAATGTCTGCTTCTTTTAGCGCTGAGACCCACATCAAGGGCTTCGTGCTGAACGATGCTGCCAGCAGCCTCCTCATCATAACGCAAGTTAGGCGGGATTATTTGAAAGGTATGTCACAATGCTTGACCTTTACGTCACATTAATGCCTCTGCAGATTTTTCTTGTAACGCCCTTCGAATACTTGGATAAAGGAGTCCATTTAGCAAATTACCTGCTTATCAAGCGCCTTTTGTGGTAGCTGAGAGACGTAAATTACTGTACATGCATTTATAATACAGCTTGAATATGAATGTACTTGTCATTTGACCACTTAGTCCAGTTTCCGTTCCATTTAACACAAGATGGGTTTTCTTAAGATGAATCACAGCTCTTCAGACATGCAAAATTTGTGCTCCAGAACGAGAGAAAGTACAGGCTTTCAAGTGCGTTAAAATTCACAGCACAAGTCATTTTGCTTGGAAATTAACATACTTTAGAGCATCTGAAACAATTCCCAGCAGTTTCTTCCCGCACATTGTGTTGGTAGTGCAAGATATCAAGTGAGTTAAATTGAGTGTTAAATGTGCATGGTTGTGCACTAAATGATTATAATATTGATTTTTTAAAAACCTTAATCTAATACTTTTTAATAGTTTGCAATACCAACAGTAAAGAAACCTACATTGTGCTTCTGTGCTCCTTTTAAGCTTAGATTGTACGGAAACACCAGTGTTGGTTGTGCAAAATAAATGCCTGAAAATTCAATGATGGACCATTTTATTGTTGCAACCCTCTCTTCCACACATGTTGTTCTCTTCAACTTGGAGGGGTGCTACAAAGAAGTGAAAGTGATGTTTTTACCAGGACAAAGCCACTGAAGTTCAGGTTTAGAAGACTGAAGCTTATGCAGATTTAGGCAGTTAACATTCAATTTTACATAGCAAGATTTGGAACTGTTTGGAATAACTGCTGATTGCTAAGTGTTTCATTGCTTATGTGGATATTTATTAAAAGTATAACATGTCCTCTAGTATTTTTGTCTTATTTTGCTATGGCTGTATGCTAACGCAATAAAGGTTTTGATTGATTGTATAACATGTCATTTTAACATGAGGACTATTCACCAAAAGTTCAGCGTCATTACCTCTCTTGTTAGTGAGCGCATTACCCTGTACATAGTAATATGTTCTCTATATAAAACACACAGAGCCAAAATTGTACCAAGACTCTGTCTTAAAGCTGCTTGATTTGCTTCCTGTTCTTCCTATTTTGCCTTCCAGATTTAGATTCGTTTTGAGGGCCTGGAGTAGTAAATCAAACTCATATTGGAAAGTTCTGCTAAAATTCTTATGTAAACTTAAAATCTGTCCTTTTATGACTTAATTCCAGTAATTAAAAGAAACCGAACAACTGTGCTGGAGATTCAGCATTTTCACTTGCCACTGAACAGTCATATTTGTTTGCAAATTCCCTTTCCTTTCCTGCCTCTCCCTCTCTGCCCGACAGCTCATTTTGAATTGATCATCACACCATCTGACTTCAATGCCTTCCCCTTCCTCATTCTCTTATTGCTGACAGCATCCTTCATTTTTCACTTGCCCAGGCGTTGTAGCCTTACATTGTATTTGACTTCTTTCCTTTTTGCCCACTAGAGTCAGCAGAAACTAGGAACATCATCATATTTTTTTGCTGTATATGTGTATATTTTGCTTTAAAAAAATGCATTTGAAAGTTAGAAGCTCCTTGTTTTAAACAGGGCTCCATGCCCTTTTCCCAAAGCAACCACCAAGACCTCACATGCCAGAGAAGTTATCCTGATCATAGAGCAGCTTCGGAGGTAGATGTCAGGGACATCTCCTCAGTCCCACATGCCCTAAGAATCTGAGGTTTTTTTAGTATTTCTGCTTCATTTTTGCTCCATCCCTAACAGCAGCCACTATAAAGGACATGCCACAGAGACTTCAGCTCCTGCACCAAGCTTTGAACTTGCTGGCTGAGTCATCTTGTGTTCCTTTGCCTTTATTTGTCCTGATTCTCTCCTGAATCCTGCATACTACGTGTAAATTAGCACTTGGCTTTCCCACTGCTCCAGCAACACACAAACACATGTCCTGGTTTGCTCCTGGCAGTATCCTCTGACATGTGGAACATGAGAAGCTCCTGCCATAACCGCATGTCTTTGAGTTCATCTTCTAGGCCTCCTCTATACTGGTCATGCAAAATTCCCTTTCTCTCTTTTATTGACCTAGAATCCTGAATGGTGAAGCAGCTGGTTTTATCTCTTGTATACATCCATGTAGGAAATAGCTCCCAAAATGCACCTTACTGTGTCTTGGTAGGCCTCAGTTCAAGCTTGTCACTTGAAATTACAAGTGCCCCCGTTTGTGAAAAAATATACTTTCAGATGGGTACACTAGCCTGTTGCTTGAAACAAAATGCTAAAGGAAGACCAAGCCCTTGAATAAGTTTACTTGAACATAGACGACCCTCTTTCATCCCGAAGTGGAAAACTGAAACACCTACCTGTATGTAATCCTTTAGAATAATCTATATGCACAAACTAGTGATTGTAAATATAGCTGCTCATTTTCAAGAAGCAAGTTTATTCATATATGAATATCTTAAAGCAGTCTCATGTATGTATTCTTAAAAGAAATCCTCCTGTTCATGCTTGCCAATTCGTATTTCTTTACTAGCTTTTAAAATACATTTGTCAACTTCAGTTGCATGACGTTTTATGGTGGACACTTCCAGTGCTTTACAAATTATACACTCTTATGCATGCTGGCTTTTAGCCAGGTCTTAGTTAAGTTGGAGGGGGATGGATGGGTGGATGCTAGAAGCTTGGTTTTCATTTTCAATTATTTACAAGCAGCTTGTAAACCCAGATTTGAGGAATCTGACCAAGGATGGTCATGACTTTAAAACCATCAGTGCACAAGCCAAGATTTTCAGGGAATAGATTTTGATTAAGGACTTGTTCATCAAGACACAGTAGGCAAAAGAGCAGACAGTAGGAGCAGGAAGACGTCTGCCATTTAAAGTTACTAAGCTGCAAAAACACATGAATTGGGATTCCTATTCATTGGGCATTTTGATAGCCACTTGTGATGTTGCACAGCCACAACCGTATCATCTCTAGCCCCCAAAACTGAAATGTGTGCCCCGACAAATGACAAGCAATGTAAAAAAATGTGCAAAGGTTAGGTTGATTATTACCTATAAATATAGAACTCTTCTACGAGAGTATTAAAAGTAAAGCGAAGAGCAGGAAACCAAACCATTCTCATGGTATCTACACCAACAGTTAAAAAGACACGGTAATATTCAGGTGGAGATTGTCCTAGGTTTCTCCTACAGAAGTGTTCTGGACAGGAAAGGATATTTCCCTGAGACAAAGGTCAGACAGACTCCACGTTGTAATAGTCAGCAAGACCAGACCCAAACATAATTGCACACCCTTAACCACACACACGAGGGGCGCGGGTGGCGCTGTGGGTAAAACCTCAGCGCCTAGGACCTGCCGATCGCATGGTCAGCGGTTCGAATCCCCGCAGCGGGGGTGCGCTCCCGTCGTTCGGTCCCAGCGCCTGCCTACCTAGCAGTTCAAAAGCACCCCCGGGTGCGAGTAGATAAATAGGGACCGCTTACCAGCGGGAAGGTAAACGGCGTTCCGTGTGCTGTGCTGGCTCGCCAGTTACAGCTTGTCACGCTGGCCACGTGACCCGGAAGTGTCTGCGGACAGCGCTGGCTCCCGGCCTATAGAGTGAGATGAGCGCAAACCCTAGAGTCTGGCAAGACTGGCCCGTACGGGCAGGGGTACCTTTACCTTTACCTTTACCTTAACCACACACACAAATTCAAACGTGCACACACTAACCTGTTCTTCATAGAAACTGACATGTATTTAATTAGGAATAAAGTTTCACTTCCCATTTTCTCTAGATTTCTGCCTCCCCCCGCTTGTTTGTATCTTTAAAAAGGTCTCCCATAGGCCAAAAGCAAACAGTGCCAATGCACAGCTGAACTCCAAGCCCTGCCTTACAGAATTTCCAAATGCATGTGTGCAGTTTCGAAATGTGTCAACACTTTTGGTATGTTTGCAAGGTATACAAGCATTACATCTCTGCTGAAATTTTTCTCCCCTCTTCTTTGATCTACTTTCAGCAGATATTGCAGATGAAGTATCTACAGTTGTATTGTTTGCAAAATATCAAAGCCCTTTCCCACTGAACAGCTGGTGGTTGGGAGGGGACCCAGAAAGTCAGATAAAATATGGCTCAGGGGCCCAGAGGTATCCCGCCCCTGATTTATACCATGGCTATATGCTGGGTTTAAAAGCTGAAAATGAACAGGAAGGTGTCTACGGCATTGCTGCAGAAAATGCATGCCTTTACCAATGCATCCTAGCCAGTTGTACTGACAGAGTTGTGCCCCTCCAGATTGAGTGTAACCCTCCCTTGTAGGCAGTTGACCAATTTTTCAGATATGGGAACTACTTGCCCGCAGTGCCTCCATCTTGCTTAGCAGAACATCACCAATATGAGGCTTCCATGGCAAATGCACAACAGCAAAGGTGATTGCTATCTTAAGTTGTCGCACAAAATAACCCAACTGAATTCAAGGGATAGGATTAGGGAGATTTTATGCTCTTTTCCCTATTGTTGATTAAATATATAAATATGGCATATAATAGGCCAAGGCCCAAGTTTCCATTCTGAATGAAGACTTTTCTTTTTTTACCTTTCCATATTCTGAATAGATGCGATATCTACTCTCAAGGCACTCATTGAAAGTGGCAAGGTGCCCATTCCGGTGGCAATTACTCGACTTGTTCAGGCTTTGGCTAAGAAGGGAGATGTGGAGAGTATAGCCACAGTTGAGAAGATGATGGCAGACCTCAGTGGCTCTCTTAAATTGTCGCGTATGCTTTACATCAATAACACAGCATTGGCTCACATCAAGAAGTAAGTAACTCTGCAGTGATTATTGTTTCTGTTTTACAAGCCAAGAAAAGGGGCAATATGGTGACCTTGGTTGCCTTGCATATCAATAATCTTTCCCTTCGTAACAGTTAAATGGATGCTAGAATTGGCTGCCATTGAAATTTCTTATCCTGGAAACAATGGAGGCTGGAGTCCATTTAATGAATTGCAGAAGCTGGCAGGTTATTACTGGATAAGTGAACTTTGAGTAGGCTAATGATGTCAAACATATGCGCTTATCAAATTCTGCCTCCCTAAACGGAGCCTCGACTTAGGCTGGTGTCTGAAGTCTCTTCTTACTGTTCTAATTCGCAGCACGATGCACACTTCCACAAAGCCAATAGAAGGTTTTCACTTTGCACCAATAAACTTTAAATGTGCTTTTAAATTTGCTTTGCACCCCTAAAATTGAGCAGAATGCATGTGTGATTTTTCAGAGTTATAAAGGTATGTGCTGTACATGCAGATTCTTACTGGCTTTGAAAGAAATTCAGGTGCTTAATTTTCTAATGAAGGCTTTAGAAACGTTTTAGACAACCTTTTCAAACCTCCTTTTAAAAGAATATGCGCAAGGTTTTGAAACATTAAAAGGTGCATTCCAGTTATGAGCTCTCCCTGCCCTTTAACTGCCCGCAAACATCAGCAATACAGTTTTTCTGTGTGCTTTTTCCTTAAAATAGTGAGATGGCATTTTGTTTATTTTTTGTTTTGTTATGTATGGAAGGGCATTTCCATAACATTCACTAAGCACATTTTAACATGCCTCTCAAAATATATATTTTACCGATAAACTCTGTAGAGATTCTGCCCTGTTTTCTGGTTTTTCCTTTCGCACCTCTTAAACAGTACACTCGGTTGTTTTTTCTCCAATTTTGCAGCTCTGTAGAGTTATATTATGTCTCAGGTATCCGTGTCTGAGGCAGGTAGGTCCGGTGAAAATACCCATGCCAAAGAGCCACAGGATAATTTTAAATAGTGTGATAAAAGCAGATAGAATTGCAAGCCACCTGCACAGGCCAATTTCCAAATCCAGGCATACTGTTTTCAGACATTGATCAGCCAGAGAGAATTCAGTTCTGCAAGCCCTTAGACTGCCCAAAGCTACATACTGTGCTCAAACTTCATTATGAGTGATTCAGACCGTATCTTATTAGGGAGACTTTTACAAGAGCTTAAACACAGGTTTCTCTCATCAGTCTTCCATGAGAAATGAAGTACAAGGGAACTGCCATGTGGAAGAACAAAATACCGTATTTTTCGCTCTATAAGATGCACAAGACCACAAGACGCCCCTAGTTTTTGGAGGAGGAAAACAAGAAAAAAAATATTCTGAATCTCAGAAGCCAGAACAGCAAGAGGGATCGCTGCGCAGTGAAAGCAGCAATCCCTCTTGCTGTTCTGGCTTCTGGGATAGCTGTGCAGCCTGCATTCGCTCCATAAGACGCACACACATTTCCCCTTACTTTTTAGGAGGGAAAAAGTGAGTCTTATAGAGCAAAAAATACGGTAATGTCTGTAGAACTCTACTCTTTTGCGTAGCAAGCACAATGTTGCCAGCATACTTAACTGCTTGTTCAGATTCCATTTTTATCAACAAGTTCGGCCATGTTTTTGCTAACTCCTAGGGAGAAAATCCTGCCCTATTAGGCATTCAGGTACTTCTTCAGACTGGAAATTGGCTCTGAACTCATTACAAACCTGTAGCAGCTGCTAGTACCTGAGGCACAGATCCTTGATCAAATGTATCTCTCCATGAAAATTGTCTTGCAACCAGGCTCCAGAGTGTTTAGAACTTTTTTCTCAAAAGCACAATAAACTATTCTATTTATTTCTTACACATCGCTGTCTCATGCTGCATTATCCTTCAAAGAGAAAAGTGTGTAGACAAAGCTGTTAAATGTATCACATTTAATTTCGTTGTGTTTGAATCCAAAAAGACAGCTATGAAAAATTCAGGAAAATATTTAATTTAATATTTTTTAAAAAATACTCTTTGGTTGCTTTGGCATTAATTATTAAGAGGTTGTCCCTGGATGTTTGATTTTTGCCCTTTTATTATTTCAGAAGTAACAAACCAGCAGTCATCTTTGTTCCGTTAAAAAAAGCAGCATTTATGGCAGAGTTATTCAGCCATAGAACAGGTCAGAGTTCATTCTCGAAAGAAACAGAGTTAGTGCCGACTTTACGCATTCAGCCATAAATTTGTTTCACTTTGTGTTGTGACAATATCTGCATGAATGGAGTCATGGGTACTTTTAACATCGCTACTCTGTGTAATATTAATGTAGTAATAAAATAAAACATTCATGCACCTGCTTTATTGGTTTAGGAGCTCTTACATTAGAAACTAAACCAGTGCAACTTTTTTTTTTTACCCCCTTCTCTTCCAGCAATAACCCTGATGTTGCTGTGGAATACATTGAGACCATGTTTACCTCTGGAGCCCTGCTTGCTGACTCTCCAAGTACAAGCATCTCGTTTGTATATAGAAAGTTGTTGGAAGACAAACTGGAGCCAGCTTTGGAAAAACGTAAGTTAGCCTGGCAAAAGGAGTCCATAGGAATCACTAGGCCAAAAAAAATTTGACTAGCCTGTCTGCCTGCACATTCCTATGCCTGCACATTCCTTATGTTTGCTTCCATCTGCTGACACTAATCTCTTTGATCCATTGGAGACATCCATCAGTGGAAAAGGAGAAGTCTCTCTCTTCTTTCCTGCAGCTCCCACTGCTTCAAAACATCCGCCAAACCTCTGAGGTAGATTGTAGGAAGAAGAGGGATTTCTGAAAATAGCCTCCCTCCCCATTCTGCTGTTTCCATTGGGTCAAATAGCCTTCTGTCAGTGCAGAGATACTGACCGGATGCAACTTTTAAAAGTTAGAGAGAGCCAGAACTTCCCCACTTGGACGGTTAGGGACCAAACAAATGGCTGTTTCCAAGCCTCTGAGTCAATGGCATTGTGTGTTTCTGCCTTGCTTTAGCAAAAACGTCGCTAAATAGCTCTCAGTTTTACTTAAAACAGGCTGTAGCAATATTTTTTGTTAAAGCCGGAATTAATCACTTACATGTTTCTTTTGATTTTTGCAGTTAGTGCCATGGCCGAACGGTTGGCCCATCAGTTTGGAATATATCGGCCTGCGACAGACCTTTTCCTTCAGTATATAAATGCGGGAAGAGCAGACGATGCCAAGCATCTTCTAGAGGTAATAACATATCAGGAGAGGGGATAGTAGTGCTGTGGCCACATCAAAAGAAAAGCAAGAAATAAACACAAAGGTGTCATGCACAGGATGTGGCAAAGATACTTTTTAATTTGTCACATAATTGCTGATTTCATGTATTAAGAGTTTTGTTTTGTTTTGTTGTTTTGTTTTGCTGTGGATTGGAAGCAATAATTTTATTCTTGTCTAATCTGAAATGCCTTGAAACAAGGGAATGAGGATTTAAGCGAATGGTAATCTGTATCCATGTTTTGTACTGAACAGTGTGTCGGTTTTATTAGCAGTCTGTCCTTGCAGGGCAACATTCTCTTTCCTCTTTCACAAACATGCCTCTGTAATGTTGCAGCTGCCCTGGTAGAAGTGTGTACCCTTCCTCTTCTGCCTGCTGAAGGAAGCAGCTCCCCATTTTGCTTTTTTTGGGGGGGGGGAATAGCTTAAATGCCAAGACAGTTAAAGAAACCAAAGTTGCATTTTTTGGTGATAAATTTTAATTGCAGTAAACCACTTTGGGGGCTAAAGCTTGGCTGAAAAGCAGGTCACAAATAATAAGAAAGGTAAACACTTATAATCTCCACTGACAACTATTTTCAAACTGATAGTTGGCATTTATTTTTATTTACACACACACATCCAGTAGTAGCATCTTCTTTTAAGCAGTCAAATCTCTCTCTGGGAGCCTCTAAATGTTTTAGAAGCTGTGTTTGCTTTCCGTTTGGTTATGTGTCACTGGCATGTTAACTGACAAATGCACGTCTCTAGTGGTCCGTGGTCTGTCTGCCTCATTCTTTTAAAAATTGGCAATCTTCGGGGAGCGAGACGACAGCGTTCGTACCACTTTAGCAGTGCTAAATAGGAAGCAGAGAAATATGCAGAATGAACCATGGGTGATAAGAGCTGCCATTGGCAGTGTACACAAACAGGCTCCAGCCGGGAGTCTTTCCCAGCAGGTGGCAGTCAAACAGTCACAATGATCCTGCAGATTGCTGCTTTTGTGTAGACTCCCTGTGTCAAATTGAGGCTTGTTACCAATTTCTGATAGTAAATACTGCTACATTCACTTACGTTCTTGCATAGCTGCTAAGTACTTTAAAGGGTAAACGGAAAGAAAAACCCTCTCTTTAGTCATCAGGAGGTTTTGTAGCATCCGGGGCGGGGTGTGTGTGAAATTGGTAGTGGTGAAATTTGATCCTTGCCTACTGCTTATATAATTAAGCAAACCATAAATGCAATGCTTGGGGTGTCTTTTTTTTTGCGATCCAAGAGATGCATCCGTTTTAAACGTGCACTGTAATCTCATGGTAAACCCCAGTTTGCTTAGCTTACTAGTGACGCTTATAATAACTGTGTTACTTTATTTCTGTTCCTGTGAAGAATCTTGTTGGGTTTCAACAGCTTTGAAGTGTCTCTAAATATAAGATTTCCTTTTAAAAGAATGCAGGCGGTGACCATTTTGTGTGGGTATTCCACTCCCAGACCCTGGGCACATCGGCGGAGCGCATAGAAGCGTTCCCCGGCTCATTTTACCCCTGTCCTGCCGCCTTCTGGGCCCAAAAGGATCCATGTGTTGATGATCACGCATCAGTTTGTCACGTGTATGTAAAATGTCACGGGGTCCATTCCTGTTATCTGTATGTTTGAAGACAGACGTTGCAACACACGTTTGTTACAAAACAACATGGGGTGGTTGGTTGGTTTTTGCATTTGAGGTAAAGGTGATCTTGTTAGATTTCGGATGTAAAGGAAAAGTTATTTCTTAATGTGTTTAAATATGGTACCCTGTTGGTGCCCTGAACCTCCATAAGCTTGGATGATTCCCATTAGCTTTAAAGTGACCACCTTACATTGATTGGGGGAAAGAGAAATGTTTAGTGAATAGGAAGTGTACCAAAAGGCTTCACTTCCATGGAATCTACCCAAGTGACATTCATGGTCTTAACACTGGGAGGTCTAAAAGGGTGGCCACTGTTGGGAAGCCTGCAAGCAAGACATTAACCCCAAAGCATCCACCTGTTCATGTTCCCCAGCAACTGGTATTCAGAAGCAGACTGCCAACATCATTTAATAGCACCATCCATGAATTATCTTAACACCCCTCTGAAGCCATCAGTTCGCCACCACGACATCTTGTAGTAGTGAATTTGTTCCTGCAGAAATAAACTGTGACAAAGTACTTGCTTTTAGTTGGGTGGGTTTGTGGGTGTTTCAGTGTCTGAAATGAGGATATGGGTATAGTGCATCTTCGCTCCCTGCATTGAGTGTCTGAAGAGGGTTAGACTGCAATTACCGGATGAAATACAAGGGAATCTCCGCATAGAGTGCATTGCTGCGATGGAACACTTTGCACATCAGCTGATGCACGGGGACAACCCAGATACCGGTCCCCTGTTGCCATTATGGCATCAGGTGATTGATAGGTGGGTGGTTCCACCAGCACCTGTCAACGTTGGCCTGTGGGGGTGGAGGAGATAAAGATCTGCCACACTGGGCCAGAAAGGTTCTCAGTCCACTTTAAAACCTCTCCTGAGTGCTACAAGTGAAGTCTGAGAGGCTGCACTACGTACCACTCAAATCCCCAGTTCCACATTTCTGTTGTTTGTGTCCAAAATCAGATAATATCTACAGTTATGGCTTATACTCTTTTGAGTGCAAAAAAAAAAAGGTCAGTGTTTCTTGCCTTCTTTTTATAGATTGCTATTTGCTCTGCCATATGCCCCATGTATGACAAACTGTTCCTTTGAAAACATACATTTTGCTACCACACTGCATATTTCTTCAGACTCTCTCTCTCTCTCTCTCTCTCTCTCTCTCTCTCTCTCTCTCTGTGTGTGTGTGTGGTGTGTGTGTGTGTGTGTGTAGTTTTAGTTGTCCCTCATAGAACAGTTGTTTATTTTGAGTTTTGGCAATTCTTTGAAAAGCAGGATAGAATAAAGGATGTTCTGGGATTTCTGCTTGGTTTCCTTTTGCCATTCATCGGAAGAGTGATAAACTTTATTTGGATCTATGAGAATTTGACAAGGAAGCATTAAATGCTTTGTGTGTTCTTAGTGGGGATTTGAATTAGTTCTTCTTCACGGATGTCTCCGGTATCTGCTTATAAAGTAATTCAGTGTGTTCCTGTGTATACATTCTCTGCAAAGCGGAGTAGGCTGATACTTGGAGGTTTTCGCATTGACAGAGTGTCTTAAGCTCTTTCTTAGGGGTGGGAAACAGTATGCATTTTTCACACATGCAAGGATGACATCTGTGAGCATAAACTAAAATATTGTCTGACATACTTGATTTTTTTTTAAATCAAGGTTTTATTTTATTTTTTTAAAGAAACTCTATAGTTTCCAACATGGGATAGACACTTGACTTGTCAGGTCTGTCACAGAAACTTTTTTTGAGTTTAACTTTTGTCTCTTGAGCACAGGCTGTCTGTTGCAGAGAAAGCCTTTTATAAAATAGAGAGATTGAAATCAGTCCTTTTGTATGCATAAGTGTAGGTAATTATACTTTAAAGAGAACTTGCTTTGTACATTTTAATTTTTATAAAGAAACGAGCAGTTATCTCCCTGACACCTTATTAAATGTATAATTAACCTTATGATCCCTAGCTCACTTGTGAATGCTTGGCAGAATAATTGGAGAGGAATAGTGTGTGACCCCCCCTTTTCCCCTTTCTTTCTTTCTTCTTTCACAGTCCTAAATCTCTTTTCTGTGGGATGTTAAAGCATTTGTTCATTTTCTCCCTCCTTTTTGAGCAAGCCTAATGCTTATTGTGCCAAGGACAGAAAAAGAAAGGGAGGAATTGCCTTGGCACCCCATTTGTTTTCCTTTCTGCAGGTTTTTAATAAGTGGTCGACTATTAAGGCCTTTGGTAATAATAATATAGTGCTGGTTATTGTGAACCTTTCTAATTGGAAGTTTTCACCTTCAGTAGTTTTATTTATCAAGAGCCTACGGTTGCTTTTGCTCATTTAATTCTCTCTGTGTCTCTCTTTCCCCCTCCCCTACTTCTTCCTTTCAAGAGATGCGGTGCGATAGGTGAACAAAAAAGGATTCTGGTGGCTTTCCTTGCAAAGACAACCCAGCAAGCAGGACAGGTAGGTCAGCTCTCTCTCTCTCTCTCTCCCCCCACCCCCATATTTTTCTAGCATCTTCACTAGTCAAAGCTCTCTGTCAAGGATGTTGCCATAGAACCTGACTCTGTGCCTTCACAGTCATCAACTCTGAAAAGGGGGACAAGATCTCCTCTCGTGTATCTAGGGAAATTGGTTGATGGTGACACTCCCAAATTGTTCAGTTAATTGTGAGGTCTGCAGCCTTGCCACTTAATCTTTAAATGAAAGCCAAGGGTCTCTAAATTCCAACAAGAGGACATAATTAAACCACATATTCCCATTGGGCAAATAATGGCTATCATGATGGGTTCATCAGAACCTAAGAAGAGCCAGCTGGATCAGGCCCATACTATTCTCATAGGGAGTGAAAAGAGGAAAAGCTTTTTTTTTTTTTGTTAATGAATTCTTTAATATGAGAAAGGGAGGGGAGTTCTTTTCAACAGTGCATTTTTGTTATTTATAAGAACCGCATTTTGGAAAACGGTGCATGAAATATTTACTTGGTAAGTGGTATTCTGCTTAAGTGCCAGTAATTGCCTTGTTCCAAAAATGCGCATGAAACTTGAAAACTGCATATTTGCTTCTTCTGTAGCAGAATTCGCATGCCAAGCTTCTAAGGACACGATCCACTGAGAACTTAACTTTCCGTAAGCTCCATTAAAAGAGTAGAAGCTACACTAACCACAGTACTTCTCTCTAGTGGGTTCTGTTGCTATAGAGCAAACAACAGAGGAGGAGATCAATAAAACAGAATACAAAAAACAGGTCATTGTGAGACAACTTCATATCTTTCTTCCACTGCATTAATATCGCATGGCACATCATAGGATAGCAGTCACAAAACAGACATGAGAACATAAGAAGAGCCTGATGGTTTGGGCTAATAGCCATTCGACTCCAGCATCTTGTTCTCACATCAGCCACCAGATGCCCACGAGAAGCCTGCAATCAGGACCCCTGACCATGCCTCTGACCATGAAGGCAGAGCATAGCCATCGGGTTAGTTAGTGGCTTTTTCTTCCATGAATTTGTCTAATCCTCTTTCAAAGCCATCCAAGTTGCCGGCCATCACTGCCTCCTGTGCGAATGAATTTCATAGTTTAACTTACCGGTATACATTGCATGAAGAAGTAGGTTTTTTTGTCTGTCCTGAACTCAACATTCTGCTTCATTGGATTTCCATGAGTTCTGAGGTTATGGTGGGGAGACTTTTCTCAATCCAATTTCTCCATACTAAACAGAATTTATAACTCTTCTCTCAGGTCACCTCTTACTCACTATTTCTCTAAAGTGCCCCAAATGCTGTACCTTTCGTCATAACAGGAGTTGCTCCACTCCCCTTGATCATTTTGGTCCATCACCACCAATTCAGTTCCCATGAGTGTATACTTTTTAATTCAGACCCCCCCCTCAAAAAAAACCCCCCAATGTACATCACTTTACACAGGTTTGGAATTGCAGTTGTAATTTTACTGCCCATTCACTCAGTTTGGAGAAGTCCTTTCGGGCCTCTACACAGTCTCTGTTTTAACAATCCTGAATAATTTGGTATCGTCAGCAAACTTGCCTACATCCCTGTTCACCCCTAACTCTAGATCATTTATGAACAAATTAAAAAGCACAGTCCTTGGGGCACGCCACCTGCTATGTCCCTCCATCAGAAATACTTCCCATTTGCTCCTGCTCCCAGCTTCTTGTTACATAACCAGTTCCTGATCCACAAGAGGCTCTCCCTTCTTATCTCATGACTGCTAAGCTTACTCAGGAGTCTTTGGTGAAGTACCAAGTCCAAGTGCACTAGATCAGCTCTAGATGTTCGTTGACAGTCCCCAAATGAACTCTTAATGAGAAAGAACTTTACCCTGCAAAAGCCATGCTGATTCTGCTTCAGCAAGGCTTGTGTGCTTGGTTATTATATCTCAAACAATGCTTTCCTGTAATTTCCAGGATCCCTTTTTAAAAATTGGTGCCACTTTTCAGCCCTCGGGTACAGAGACCGGTTTTAGGGACAAGCTACAATTTTTTTTGTTAGAAGATAAGAAATTTCACATTTCAGTTCTTTGGAGAACTCTTAGGCGGATACAATTTGGGACCAGCAATTTGTTGGTTTTATCTCTTGATTCCTCAATTCCTGACTCCCCTCTTGAAAACGTTGGTTCGGGTGCTGAGATTTGCCCTGCATTCTCCACTGTGAAGACATGTGTAAAGGATTTGCTCAGCTTCCCTGCAATCTACTTATCCTCCAAGGATCCAACCATCTCTCTAGCCAGTATTTAAATAATTTTCTTGTTGATTTATTTCTGCCGTCATGAAGGCACTGGATTAGGTAACATCCCTTGTCCCGTGACAAGGCAGGAACAAAGGATTCTGGGAAGTTTTTCTTTCCTGCCTTCTTGAGAGCAGTCAACCTTTTATCTCCTGAAAATCTTGCCAGACACATCCCTCTGGGTCGTGACCATAGCATATTCCTTTCCCTTAGTCCTTGATTCTTATGAACAAGCTCTTTCTCCTTTGATATTATATAACAAAAGTCTGCTTCTGTGCCTCTCATTTTTTCTAGGTTCAGAAAATCAAGACATTGTTGGAACTAGTTCCTGACTTCACAGATAGGAAGATGGTTTGCTCTTACCTTATGAAATGCCATGGTAAGATGCCATGTGTTTTATTTCAGACCGTTTGCCAACACGTATAAATAATAATAATAATATTTTATTTATACCCCGGCCAGAGCCGGGCTCAGGGCAGCTAACACCAATAAAATTACAATCAAACATAATGGGGGGGGGACAACAACCCCAGTTTATTAAAATACGGCTTACAATACAATTTAAAATGCAGCCTCATTTTGATAGTAGCCCATAAATCAAAATCATAAGGGGAGGGAAACATAAGGGTCAGACTGAGTCCAAACCACAGGCCAGGTGGAACAGCTCTGTCTTGCAGGCCCTGTGGAAAGATGTCAAGTCCCGCAGGGTCCTAGTCTCTTGTGACAGAGCGTTCCACCAAGTTGGGGCCAGTACTGAAAAGGCCCTTGCCCTAGTTGAGACCAATCTAACCACCTTGCGGCTTGGGACCTCCAAAGTGTTGTTATTTGTGGACCTTGAGGTCCTCCACAGGGCATACCAGGAGAGGCGGTCCCGTAGGTATGAGGAATTTAAAATTTGAGCATTTGGAACTGAATAGTCAAAGCTGGAGGTCTTCAGAAAGTAGATGTTTTAAGGATTGTTCAGGGCACAAATTGTTCTATGAGAGCTAGGACTCCTAGCCAGTGACAAACTACATAAAAGTGGTACTGGGGAAGTTTACCTAGTAGCTGATGATGTGGAGCAAACAAAGAAAACAACATTTTAACAAACCTGTAAGGAAGGCACAGCTCAATGGTAGCTCATAGGTCAGCACTGTGTATATATAAATGCCATGTCTGCTTGGCAACCCAATTGGTCCTGGAAAGTGGGGATACTTAAATGCTTCTTTTTTTATCAGTTGGTTAAAAAAAAGCTAACATGCTCAAATTCACCCAGTGCAACATGGTTTCCTTCTGGGGAAAGCCACATGGGAGCCCAGTTGACATTTCACCTTGGTAAGGAGGCAAAGAGCAAACCTTGTTGAAATCTTTATATCATTTTAACAATTTCATTTCTTTTTCTCCCTAATTCAGATTTCTGTACAGGAGACAGGGGGTGGGGGTGATGGTCACTGACTTGGATCCAGGCTGAGTTTCTTGAACTTGGGTCCCATTGAAATCAATCAGACAAATTTGCAACTTCTCATTGGTTTTCATGGGAAATAATTTAGCCTGGATCCAGCCAATGAGGTGTATGCCAAACAGAAGCATTATTAAAGGGAGGGGATTGCACGAGGTGATACTTTTGTTGCAATTTTACTAAGGTATATGGAAGATGGAGATGCAGTGGTACCTCAGGTTACATATGCTTCAGGTTACAGACACTTCAGGTTACAGATTCCGCTAATCCAGAAATAGTGCTTCAGGTTAAGAACTTTGCTTCAGGATGAGAAGAGAAATCGTGCTCCAGCAGCGCGGCGGCAGCTGGAGGCCCCATTAGCTAAAGTGGTGCTTCAGGTTAAGTATGGACCTCCAGAACGAATTAAGTACTTAACCTGAGGTACCACTGTATTAGACTCTAGAACCAGAAGGATGCATACTTTCTTTTCCAAAGCTAGTTGAATTTGTGGGGTTTTTGTTCTGCCTTCTCATCAGGTATATAAAACCCTGAGACTGTGTCCAAGGCTTGTAAGGGAAAAAGAAAGAAAAACCCAAATTGTTAGTCTTCCAAGAGTAAAGAAATACTATGAAAACGTCTCAGTTGTGCGGTCCATTAAACATAATCTCACTGTTACATCTTCCTTTTATTGTTTTTTCATACAATAGATACTTCTATTTTAAAGAAATGGGAAGTTAACAATTTCTATTATACCTTCATTAAACCATCACTTTGCGCAGGTTCTGAAGCCTCCCACAGTTGGAAAGCGACTCATCCACTTGCAGCTGTGAGTGGGAAGCTTTTCCTTGACAAATGGAGGGGTCTGAAACATGCATCTCTACAGATTATAAGCTTTTTATTTTTCCCCATGTAAAGCATTAAGTAACTCTTATTAGGAAGGCAGGTACCAGAAAGGTAAATGAAATGAAAATCAGTACAGCAAAAAGACCTGCTTAGTGGCTCTGTCACTCAAGCAAGCAGGAGAGCAGGGTTTTTTGCTGTCACAGGTCTCTACTGGGGGGGGGAGGAGTAACAATTGGCCACCCTAATTTGCATGCTCTGCTTAGGAATAAATCTCAGGTTCAGTCCCCTTCCATGTCCAGGTAGGGCTGAGGAAGATTCCTGTCTGAACCCCTGGAGGGCCACTGGCAGTGAGAGTGGGGAATATTGAGCTGGATGGACAAGAGTCTGAGTCAGTGCAATTCCACTTCCCATGTTAACAGATGATGGTGATGATTTATTTATACCTCGACCATCTGGCTGGGAAACTCCCGACAGAATATTAAAAGCACAATCAAACGTCAAACATTAAAAACTTCCCCAAACAGGGTTGCCTTCAGATGCTTCTAAAAATCAGATAGTTGTTTATTTCCTTGACATCTGATGGGAGGGCGTTCCACAGGGAAGGTGCCACCACCGAGAAGGCCCTCTGCCTAGTTCACATGTAAAGCAAATCCTGGCTCAGTGATTCATAGACTAGCGAAGTGGCCATCTTGGGTTCTCCCCTCTCCTGGGAAGAGGACATTGGCAGAGTTTGGTTTCCTTTTTGCAGAATCCTGACCATTACATTCAAAACCAGGAGTTGCAGTTTAAAACAAACGCTGGTATGTTTTGTAACAAACCAGCATCACACCCTGGGTTATAAAGCTGGTTTGTGAGATCAACCTTTGGTTTGAATGTAATAGCACATCTGGATTCTACAAAAAAAGAATTAAAAACTCTGCCAAAGCCATCTTCCCAACTGCGCAGGAGGAAAGAGATGCATGCAAGATGGACAATTCACTAAGGCTAGTCCATGGGTTATTCCTAAGCTATGATTTGTGTTACATGTGAACACAGTTCTGTTAACAAAGGAAGTTGGGTTACACTGAATTGGTATAATGCTTGTATTCTGTAAAATTGGACAAGGTTCTGCCAAAGTCCTACCAGCTTGGGGGGGGTAGCATTGGGGAAGGTGCAACCCACATGCTTCACTCAAGCTCATGGGTAGGGCAAATTAAGGCTCGGGGGATGGATCCGGCCCAATTGCCACCTAAATCCGGCCCACGACCGTCTGGGAATCAGCGTGTTTTTACATGAGTAGAATGTGTGCTTTTATTTAAAATGCATCTCTGGGTTATTTGTGGGGCATAGGAATTCGTTCATTTTCCCCCCTCCAAAATATAGTCCGCCCCCCCACAAGGTCTGAGGGACAGTGGACTGGCCCCCTGCTGAAAAAGTTTGCGGACCCCTGTGTCAAGCTTGTCCACATACGACAGTTTAACGGCCAGTCAAAAGAATTTTGAGATCTTCCCATCTTCCCAGAGCATAGGTGTCACCTTCAGGATTATTTCCTTCTCCTTGTTTATGTAGCTTGCAAGTCTGTGGCCTTCCGCTCAAGGCTGTCGGTAGGTTGTTATTACTATTTCTAATGTAATCAGTTAGTTATCTAAACACATTAAGGTAGTGAGCATACTTCAAAGCATAACTGAAAGTGATGAGGGTATCCTCAAAGACGGAGGTAGTTAATAAAGTGCAAGAATTTAAATTTAATGATCAAAAGCTGCTGCTCATGACCCAAAGGGACACTCAGTCTTTAGCATTTTTCCCTCGCTGAATTAAGGAATGTGGAGCTCTCACTCGTTGATTAATGGCACAGACCTAGGAATAGCTTCATGAAGGAATAAATTCAGGACCCCTCAGGACTGTGGGCAATGCAGGTTTAAAGGGTGTATTGACACTGATCTCAAATGAGCTTTGCTTTGTCTGTTTCATTTGCGCCAGACACTTACTATTCAAATGAACACTAAGAAAGCTGCATGCGGAAAAGTAAACTGTTACCTTAGAATGTTAATTGGAAGAGGAAACTACCACTTCCCCCCCCCTCAAACTTGGTACAGGGAGTTGGCTTATCTCTGAGGCCTTCTTTTCAGCGGGAGCTGCAAGAGTCCTCAGAATTGCCTTCGCTGCTTGTCATCCCCAGAAATTCATCAAGGGGCAAATTTACTCTGCAGTTGTGAAGCTTTTATTCATTTTATCACAGTAATTCATGGATTAAAGCCAGCATTTCTCTCTACTTCAGGTCTACTTGGTTGGAAATTACTGCAGAGCAACACATTTGAGTCTTTATGAATTGAGTGGAACTAGAAATTTCTGGCATAATGCATTCTGGTTGATTGGTAAACTGTTTCATCTCCTGTAATGGCTTCTTCTGTATATATCTTTTTTTTCCTCCCCTCCTTAGCATTAGATGAGGATGTGGCTTCAGCAAAAGCTCTGTATGATGAAATGAAAGCTGAGAAATTGCACCCAGATGAGCTATTTCTGAAACGTTTGGCAGTTCTCCTTAAGAATGCAGGAGAGCCTGTTCCGTTCACTGAACCTCCAGTGAGTGTTTACTGATTTTTCAAAGAAATACCTCTGGAAGTGTGTGTGTGTGTGTGTGTGTGTGTGTGTGTGTGTGTTGCTAATAAAACAAGTGGCATGCTTAATTACTCTGGGATTAAGGCTTCACAGAAAACCCTCAGAGGAGTCTACAAATGAAGTGCTGTGCATATTGTGGCATTGTATTAATCTGGCGTTAGACTTGACTGGTGGGAGAAGGAAGCCTTCTGGGGCTATTGTGTTTAAAGTATAAGATCATTACTGGGCATTCATGTTGAGGTGTGAGTTTATCAAGCATCCTTGGAGTGTTTTATCTCTGGCATTTAAACTTTAAATGATTTCCGCATGCTTTAGTTCAGAACGGGTTTAGGTGTTAGCTAATTGCTAGTTTTTAAACATGAACATTCCCCCCTCCCTCCAAACAGCATTTGTAAGGATGAAAATGTAAAACATAGGAACTAATTTTCTCAGGCAGGTTGACTTTATCTTTCGTAATTTTGCCAACAAAAAACACAAACCTTGGCCCCTCTGTAAATCTGCTTAATTGAGGGGAACAAATGCATTCAAACTGTGGAAATAACTTCTTCAGTATGTTACTTTAGAAGGAGAATCTACAAAAGCCAAGTAGCAATGAGTTCATGTAAGTTGCAATTTGTAGTGGTTTGTGGTTAGAGCTAGGTTATCTACAAGACATGTTTGGGAGGTTCATAATATTCTGCAGGAGAAAAAAAATCTAAACTTTTCGTGCCTAAGGGGCCTCATTTATGGTCTATGACAGCGCTGACTGGGACTGATGCGAGTTACAGTTCAAAATATTTATAGAGGGCACCTGGTTGGCAAAGGCTGCTCATATTTACAAGGGAATTTATATGGAAGGTATGTATCACTGTTGTTGAAGTTTAAGTTAGTCTTCTGCAAGTTGTGTGGACTCAAGTTCTTCCTAAGCCATAACATAATATTGGTCTTTGCCTTTTTCTTTTTCTTTTCTTTTCTTTTTCTTGATCAGTGTTAGGAAAACAGATGTAGAACTGTTAGATATTCGCGGGTTGGGTTGATGCACAAATTGCTTAGCATCTACACCAAAATGCTAGTTTGTCTCCTAACTTTCTTTTCTTCCTCTGATCTGCTGTAGGAGAGCTTCCAGTTCTACGCAGAAAAACTTAGGACAGAACGACAGGGACATTCTTCATCAGATGAAGATTAACCTTTTAATGCTTCTGTTTCTGCTAGTAATATTGTGACTGTGAAATACTGTTTTTAAATGTATTATTGTCGGGGGGGGGGAATAAAATTGAAAGCCGGATTCTTCACTGTATAATTGTATAAAATCATCTGACATTAAGCAGTTTCATTTTTCCCCCCTGAAGCAATTTTATATAGTTTGCTGGACCTGCTAAAATGACTGTAAAAGATTGTTGCTTCATGCAGGGCCTTGTGTGATCAGTGTACACATTTGCCATCGCGCCCTGCATACCGACACATACAGCCCCCAAAACAGTTCTAGGTATGCGGTATGGTGACCTGAATTTTGCAGAATAAATTCATGTGAAGTGTATTTGTATGCACTGTTTGCTTCGAAAATTCAGAAATTATTGAACAAAAGCAGGGGCTTGATTAAAAGGGGAATGAAGAGCACAGAGATTTGGTGTGAGTGATCGCTGTGGGCCTCAAAGCGGCAAACGGCAGTAGACATGGGTCAGGGTGTGTATATCCCCAGAAACGTTCTGATCCTAGAAAATCCAGGATGTTTTCTGGAGTTCAGGTTTTCCAAGCTTTTCACAGCAGCCATTAGGGATGAAATGAACACTGATATCCTGCGAAGTTCAGCATCAGCAATCAGATTTCACGCTTCTCTTGGCTCCTACGGAGGTGCACAATTCACACAGCCCCAGACCACGTGGGTGTGTTGACAGTCAAAGCCTTCAGGCTTTGCAGAAAGCCTTAATTGAGATGTATATTTTTCTGTGAAAACATCAGTCTCTTAGCATATGATTGCTTTTCAGAAAGCCCATAATCTTCATAGCCACTGCACCACTGTACATTGAAGCTCTGCGTAGGTTTTATTTTACTTGTAAATACTGCATAGAAATTGGGGGAATAGCAGGAGATAATGGATAATTTGGTTTCAGCCAATTGATATTTGCTCTTCTCTTTGTCAGATTTTTGGACAATAGACAATATCTTTGAGCGATCGATATTAAGTTTGTTTGCGGTTTGCGGTTAATTATACCCATCTTATGCAAACAAATAAACTTGCAAATGTTCCAGTTTTCTTTGTGTATAAAACATACTTCATTTTTTCCTACGTGTTTTTCCCCTTTCACAATGGAGAAGTAAGAAAAGACACTTTCAGGAGCAAACATCCTAAAGCACGGATGTCAAACACAAGGTCCGCGGGCCAAATCCGGCCCGCCAGACCTCGTCATGTGGCCCGTGTAGCCGCCGCCGGCCGCCAGCCTTCACCTTTTATTCTTCCTTTTTTTTTTTTTTTTTTGACACAAGAAAGCCGCCTCTTCACTGCATGCGCAGCAGCCTACAAGCCAGAGAACGTCTGCCCTCTAGCGGCGCCGGCCGTTCTACACAGGAAACCTCCACTTTACATGTCCTTTACATAGTCCTACAGATACAACCGGCCCTTTGAGGGTGACCAAACTGCTGATGTGGCCCCCCAAGAATTTGAGTTTGACACCCCTGTCCTAAAGGTTTCTTTACTTGGCTGCCTCTTTCTAGTTCTTTCTCCAGCACTTTTGGTGTTCAGTAGCCACTGTGGGTAAGATACACTGCAGAGAGGTTGCAGGCACTTTCAAATCTTTTTAGTAAGCTAAATAGATCAATCTCAGGGTCATGGGTTTGAGCCCCACGTTGGGCAAAAGATTCCTGCATTTCAGGGGGTTGGACCAGATCAGGGTTTCCCGAACTTGGGTCTCCAGCTGTTTTTGGACTACAATTCCCATCATCCAGTGGTCCTGCTAGCTAGGGATTGTGGGAGTTGTAGTCCAAAAACAGCTGGAGACCCAAGTTTGGTAAACCTTGATCCTTGTGGTCCTTTCTAACTATGATTCTGTGACTAAATGTAGCCATTCTCCTCTTTAAAGTGTGGTTTAGAGCTGTGGAATACAAAGCTAGACTTGGAAGAGTTTATGAAGCTGCTTTAACCACAATCACTGGCAGCATAGATAAGGAGTGGCAAATGTTTTCCAGCTCGAGGGCCACATTCTGTTTTTGGCAGCCTCCCAGGGGCCATATGCAAGTGATGGGCAGAAGTGGGCAGAGCAATGAATATGAATGTTACTTTTGTACAGTGGCCTAGTTTCTACACACACACCCCTCCCTTCTCCAGGCAAAAGCACTGAAGCCTATGAAGCAAGGCTGAGTACAGGATGTGGCCAGGGCAAGGGGGATGCATTTGGCTCCCAGACCTGTAATTTCCTACCCCTGATATAGATAGTACTCTGCTAGACAGACCCAGTGGTGTGACTCAGTATAGGGCTAAAGTATAAAGACACATAACCTACTGAGAAGACTCTGGTGTAATAAACTAGCAGTAACCAATCTGTGGGCCCTATCCCTTCCATCAGGCCCTGCTGGCTGGGGTTGAGGGACACTGAAGTCCAGAAACATCTAAAGGGCACTAAGTTGACTATCCCCATAGCAAGGCGCATCTTTTAGGCACATTTCCATGCTGTGTATTTGTTCCTTTTTTTGGTTGTGAGATGCACAGTTCACATGCCAGCCAATTCTGCTGCCCAGTCCACCTTCAGCTACCCTCCCTAAACACATCACCATATCCAAGAAAGAAAGTCGTTCTTGCTTGCAATAATAAAAATAAAAAATATGCTATCCATCTGGGGTTGCCACAGCCACTCTTCCAACAAAAAATAGTAAAAGCAAATCACACACTCTGTGTAAAACAAATCACACACTGAAAACTTCCATGAACAGGGCTGTTACCAGATGTCTTTAAAAAATCACATGGTTGTCATATCTGTCCGCGATCCGTTGAGAGGGCGTTCCACAGGGCAGGTGTGACTTCGAAAAAGGCCCCTCTGCCTGGTTCCCTGTAACCCCACTTCTTGCATTGAGGGAACCATCAGAAGGCCCTCAGAGTTGGATCTCAGTATTCAGTCTAGACAATGGGGGTGAAGACTCTCCTTCAGGTATACAGGGCCAAAGTTATTTAGGACTTTAAAGGTCAGCACCAACACTTTGAATTGTGCTTGGATACATACTGGGAGCCAATATAATTCATTTAGAACCAGTGTTATATGGTCCCAGCAGCCAGGCACCAGTCTAGCTGCTCTCGCTACCTCTGCATTCTCAGAGCAGACGCCAGGGCATACATATTCCTTGAACTAAGAAAGCTGAGTTCTGTGCTTGAGGAAAAGACCGGCCCTAACACGGGTGAAAGAGAAGGAGGTGCCTTCAAATCAAGGGAGGCTTTTGGCCATGGGAGGATCAGATTAAACCATCTCTGGAATGTTAGCTTGCTAAGTAATTCCTGTCAGGATTCTCGGCCGCAGTCAGAGGTAACTGGCCTCACACCAGGCATTCGGCTCGAGATCCTTGTTGACCTTCCCGTCTGCGTCTCCCGGCAGGTTACAGGCAAGGTCACAAATCGGCGATCCCACTCAGTGTGAGAGGGACACACCCTCCTCCCTGCTTCCCTCAGGGAGGGGAAAAGAGACAGACAGAAAACTATTTACATCTCTTTATTTCTGTCTTTCCAGCAGTACAGAGAAACGTGTCTGTACTCTCCAGTCTCCAGCAGTAGACTCACAGACTCCACCCCTGTACTTCCAGTACAGGTCAGATGACACTCTGAGCTAACATCCGGTGCTCAGTACAGTGAATAGACTGCACCTTTGTTCCCACGGTACAGCCACAAGCAACAACATCCTGTCTGGCATTCCAGCCAGCTGGAGCTCGCTTCTGCATTGCTCCTTTTTCGTAACAATTCCTTCTCATAACACCAGGGGCAGCCAATGTAGTACCCTCCCAAAGTTGTCTACCATCCATGGCCATAGGCTATGCTTGATAGGATTGATGGAAGATGGGAGTTCAACAGCATCTGGAGTTGGACCACATTGGCTGTCTCTGCCACAGACAGGCTCAATGGTATCCTATTCTTACGCTCTTTCCCCACCCTTCATAGGATGTTCAAAGCAAGGTGCACCAATGTTAGAACACAAGTCAGCCTGTTGAATTGGTTTAGTCAAGGTATCCCTATTTCTGTGGTGAGATATGCTTGCACCGAGTGAAAAGAACTGCTTTGTAATGCTCTGCTTACCATTTGCCCTCAGTGCTTGTGTAGACTTAAAGACAAATATATTTGTGGCTGAAGGAAAAAACAACACAATCTGGCTCTGTGCTTGAGTGCCCTATCTCCAACGAAGTCTTTATCTCACTTTGAAACCACAGGCATTTCTCATTTCCTAAACTACGACTTGGGAAACACATTTCAGTATAATGGCACCATAATTGAACTCTGTCACGTTGGAAATCCTTTCTGTAAGGCCACAGCTCTTATTTTTAAAGGTCATCTGGTAGCTCTATTCCATTCAGGGAACTGTCTTGCAGAAACTGAAGTGCATTTAAACTGCAAATTCACAAGAGAAGTCTTGTATGCTGGGAAGCCAAAAGGCAGTACTTTAAGCACTCAAGAATCTGCACGCCACCTCTAGGAGACAAAAAAAATAGAATGGCAAAGTCCCGACCTGCTTATTCAGAGAAGGGCAAGCAACCCCCCTCTTCAGTCCTTTCAATATATATATATATTTAATATAAAAAACTACCATTGGTAAAATGCATGCATGATACAAAGAATGAAAAAGTCTTCTATTACACTCAGGGTCATCTAATGAAATTAATTGACAGTAGATTGAGCATCCTAGGAATGGCCATTTAAAAGCTGCAGCCTTTCAAGAAAACTAACCCTTGTTACAATATCCTATCACTTCAAAAGATGCTAAGGTGGTTGTGAATTTGCACCTTCAGCCCCTTTGGGTTCAACTATGAGCGCTCTCAAATGGAGCTAATGGCTTCCTCCTTTCATTTGAAATGTGTCACTGCGGGCAATTCTCTCCTGTTAAGAAATGTGATCTGCTCACTCCAAATCAACATTGCAGGAGGGAAGGTTTCCCTGCCATCAGCATTTGTGCCAGTTCTCCTTTCGCACATTGTACATGACAGCTTTGCAATGGTGTCTGCCTTGGAAAACGCAATAGAGCTTTTTAAGCACAAAGAGTAGACAGTGCCACAAACATTTAAAGAGGTTAAAAGTTCCTTGCCTAATCGGCAGCCGGTTTGACTGATATATATGCCTTCCTAAAAAGATGGGTGATTGACAGCAAACTTGCAAAATGCTCCCTGGCAGGTCAGCATTTCAGGGAAACCAGTTACGTTTACTTAATTTAATATATATTGTATGCCACCACTTATCTGTTGGATTTATGTTGGTTTAGATTAGAATCACATAAAGCACAATACCTGCATAGTGCAGTTGGCTAGAGCGTGGTGCTGATAACGGCAAGGTTGCAGGTTCAATCCCCTCAGTTG